ACTGAAGAAGACCTTGGGTTTGATAGCTTCGAAGCCATACTCGGGGGTACGCAGGCCATGCTAGCAAGCGAGCTTAATGAGACGATGCCTACCCTGGATGACCGTCGTGAACTTGCTGAATACCAGTTCCCGGCAGAGGATATCGAGGATTTAACGCCTGTTGCTAACGATATCGAATCCGATGAAGAGACCGCTACTATTAGTAGTCAGACGGTGGCTAACACGGAGACAAGTCAAGTTACCCAAGAAGCTCCTCACCCCTTCGCTGCCAACTCCAAGTATTTCATTCCTTCAGATACCTCTCTACCTCTGCCACGCAGGATTGCCACCCAGCCAATGACTGACTTCGCCCTTGCAATGGGCACATGGGTACAGCAGTACGGTGTCCCTCGGTCCCAGTATAAGGCGCTCGTTGAGGTTCTGAACCTTACTAGCAATAAAGAGATCAGCAAGCTCCCTAAAAGGGTTGATACTATAAAGAAACAAGTGAACGAACAACTGCCCCTCCTCGAAATCCGCTCTAAACCGATTACCCTCAGTGCTAACAAGCTCCCGAGTGGCCGCCGTGGGGAGGCTGAGGCCGGTTTACGAACGCATGCAGAGAACCTCTACTTCTTTAACCCGTTCGAGCTCTTTAGGACAATCTTGAACACCGAGCTACGCTCAAATATGTTCTTTGGGATGGCTAGGTTCGTCGACTCGCCTAAAGAGCTCTGGGAATCTATTGCCTGGGCGTCGTCAATCCGTTGCTCTTCTGGTCAGTACGGCTACTATCCAAATACGACCGAGCCAGTTTTTCCTTCGGATCTCGTCCGTTTCAAATGCAACGATACACAGTGTCTCTGTCAGACGATGACGCAAAAGCCGCATCTTGGCCAAATCGTGGCTTTTGGAAGGGATTTCCGCACATATCGCGAGCATAGTAGCCCAGAGGGTTCGATTGTCCTCAAGGTCCAGCGGTTTCAGCTAATAAACCAGTTCCTCTCTCGCCCAACGTACCAAAATCTTACTCTCGACCCGCCTCCTCACTCCCGCGAATTCATTATGCTAGATGATACTATCGACGTTGTCCCCGAAGAATTGATTGAGCGCCTAACAGACATTACTGTCTATTTCGACTATGCCTTCAGGAGCTCTGTACAACTCCCTAGCGATCGATCAACAGACAGCCTCTCTCCAAACGAGCATATTGTACGTCGGGTCTATAACCAGAATACAGGTATCCGGCCTATCTTTAAGACCCACCCGATCCGCGGCGAACTTGAGCTTGAGGTCTATGGGCGAGAATATTTCGTCAGCAATTTCGCAAAGCGGAATAGGCCTAGGGGGACGGATATCTTGTCTGTACCTATCCTTGGGTATCTCGATGGCTTCGGGCTCTTCCGTAACATGCACCGTACTATTATGGGCTTCTAACTTCTCCTGGCCTGCCTTGTCCAAGCCGAGCGGAATATTCCGGCCAATGTATTTCCACTGACTTTGGGCCCTCACGGTAGCAACTTTGACGACGTCGTCGACGCCCTAGAGTTGATGCAAAGACTGGATAGGGGCGTTGATATGGATATCAACGGCAAGACATACTTCGTATGTATTCCCTTCCTTGCATTCATCGGTGATATGCCGCAGCAACAGCTAAATAGAGGGTTCCTGGGGCCGACCGCAAATTTCAACTGCCGTTTCTGTACCATCGACGCTCCTCGACGAGGCAACCTGGACTTTAATATCGTCCACAGTGGTCGGTACCATTTCGAAGTCATGCGTCAACGCCAGCATATGGATTCGGTCTGGCAAAAGACGCACCACGAGGCATTCGCCAGAGCCAACGGCATGCGTGTCGAATTCCCTGCCTTGAAGAAGCTGGCCCCTTGCAATCCTATTAATATTGATTGCCCTGGTGATATGGCGCACTCCGAAGCAGGTGGTATTACGGAGCTGTTACACTTGGCTATACTTGACCAAGTACTAACCCCCCAAGCGGCTATTGGATATACGCAGAAAGTACGCTCGTTCCCATTTCCACCAGGATAGAACCGCATTCAGTCGCCGCTATTTTATATCGGCTCCTATACGCTCCAAGAGCACGCTCGCTGGTCTGTTATTATACCCGTTCTCTTCCGCCTTTGGCTACGTGCCTCGCATATCAAGCCGACCTTTCTCCAGGAGGCACATATTGTCTTTAGCACCGAGGTCCTTGAGCTGGCCGCTGTGGAAAACCCCAAGCTCCCTACCAATGACCATATCGTTACCATTCTGGTCAAGGCTGTTGCATCAGTGGCAAAGGTAAATACTCTCCTCTCCGCCGCCTATCTGACTACCGCGGAGCGCGCATCCCTACATATGGAGATTACGGCGTCTCGCTCTATGTTCCAACGGCTCTGCGAAGTGGCCTCTCGTGCTGCGGCAATTCAGACCAGGGCATTCTCTCGTGTTGGTTCTCGTACAGGATCCGTTGAGCCAGGTTCGTCGACGCAGCCAACGCAGACCCCTATGTCTACCATTACTGCCTCTACAACTCCAGTAGCCATCACCAAGAAAGAGGCTGCGTCGACCAAAAACAAGGCGGCGGGATACAGGAACAATATCAGTCGCCCCAATGTCCATGCTGCCCTTCACTACCCACTGGTACAGGACCAGTATGCACTCGTCTCTAACGTCCATGCTCTTGGTAGTGAGCTGAAGCATCGATCCTATAAGAAGAACATCCTTAGGACGAATAAGAAGCACCCTGAGAAGGATCTCCTTGAAATTGAGAGCTTTACCATGACGCTCCGCTTCTTACTCCATGGGAGTTTCCAGGTCACGCATCCCGCCCTTAGTGCCCAGTTCCAAAACCTCCGTGTACGTTGTCCCCAGTTGTTTACCTCCCTGATGCCTCACGCTACGATCGCTCAGCTCCAAGTGGTCCCTGGAGCTACCGGAGCTGGGGAGTTGGACGCAGACCATGATATCTCCCTGGCTACCAGGGAGGACGATACGCATCGTCAACCGTCTGTGCTTGGTCGGATTCCTAACAAGTACGTAGAGCAGACACTCCAGCTCCCAGTGTCTGTCTCTAAGTTCTCCGCCGGGTTTCGCGCCAAACTTTTCCGGTCGTATAGTGCCGACTACAAGATGCCTGTCAACCATCCTGGCACCCGTCGACTTCGTTGGTGGAAGAAGGTATCGTTTGTCTGGAGGGAGCCGCGCCGGGAGGGGGAGATGTAAGTACTATGCAGTGGCATTTAATGGGTAAGACAGGCTGACCTTCTGCTTATAGGAGATCTGAGCAGCGTATCACTCTAAGCCGTGGCCATTACGTAGAGTATGACAGTGGTATGCTTGGTCGTATCGACCAGATCTTTATCCATGAGGCCCTGAAAGGTAAGCAGCCTCCCTCTTGGCCCGAGTTTACTGCTAATATCCCTAGATAACTGCCGCATATTCTTCCTCATTACTCCCGCCGTTCCATTCGAACCGTTACGTCAAGATCGCGTCCTTAATTATCCCCTCTTCGAGCTCAGCGAAGAGCAGACCCTCGTCGGCCTCCCCTCGATCACCGGACGCCAGTTATACGTTGTCCCGATTACAGAGAACAATGCTCAGCTTACGTTCGACAACGCCTCTCGCACCGTGATGTATGTCGACTCGAGGATCCAGTTTATGTAACAATGGGGGCTTGCTGGCCACTGTAACTAGTGGCATGGAACTCGTGGTGTGGCTGGTGGAGCATCGTGTTGGTATGGGAGGAGTGCATGGGGGTAGCACCAGGCAAGGCATGTTAGACCAAGGCTGGGAGAACATCGGCAATGAGGCACGTGACGCTGAAAATCATGTGTATTTTGAGCGCCTCAGGCTGTCAGGCATTAAAATTGAGGAGATCCTATTGGCAGCCACTAGGGCCCACTATTCCTTAACAAACCGTTCACAAACCGTTGAACAACCGGTATTTACACATACCGTAAAATAACCAAACGCCTAACCTAGTCAAGCGCTTATATGGTCTGACGTTTACATGGTAAGCATCCGTTAAGTAGCCAAGTGCTAATTTTTACCGTTTGCAGCCGTAACGGGATACTAACAGTCAATAGACGATTACATAAACCCCGGTATGCGCCCTGCTGGTGCTTTCGGCTTAGCAAGCGTGGAAAAAGGCCCGCTCTTGATAATTTCGACAGTCGAGACCAATCCTCCTCCATCAACTCTGGAATATACCTATACAGTAGCCGGATGGTAACTGAAAGTTTGGTTTGGTCCTATTATGGATGTCTAGCCATGTTGGGTAAAGGAGAAGTATGGCAGTTTTCTCCGGCACCTCCTTTCCTTTACTACTACTGTACATATAACTAGTGCCATACTCCAGATATAAGTATTCGGGCAGATTGGGCATCTCCGGGCGAGTCATCAATACCACGAGGTCAATGGTCGGGGAGTGGATTTACGAGATTCTCTAGTAACAGGTTCAATTATTGGTGACTTAGGTTGTTGACTGATTCCCGAAGCTCATTCAGGTTAGTATCTACAGAACTTCTATTCCTAGCGAGCGTCCTCCACTGCATCATTCAAATTAACCAGGGCTACCAATAGCCCCCTTCGTTGACCAAGAAACTCCTCCAATGGACACGTCCGCATCCGGGTATCACTCTCCCCGTCACAAGTTCCCGCAAACCGGGCCAAACTTCCGATCTGTCACCGGCACGGGGAACACTCCCGCATCCATGAGCCGGAACGCATCCCACTCATGCGCCCCCTCTGTCTTGAAGTTCCAGAACACCCACCCCTCCGTCTTCGCCTCGTACGCGTCCATCTGCGCCTCGATATACCCGCGCGTATCGTCTTTATAATCCTCCGTCCACGCCGAGACCTCGCTCTTCCCCTCGCAGCTCCCCGGCGCCGGCTCCGGCCCGCCCGCATACGTCCCGTCGTACCGCGCTCCGATGCCGTACCCGTTCAAGAACGGCGCACAGTCCGTCATCGCGGCCGTCCACTCGCCCACGAACGTCCACTTGTCCGCGCCGTTGTAGCTGTCCGCGGTGTTGCACACCTGCTGGCGGTGCTCCCACGGCTCGATGCCGACCAGGTAGTTATCGAACACCTGGTACTCATGGTGGTCGACCGCGACGTTCCGCGCGTCGTTGTCTGAGGGCGTGAGGAAGCCGTTCCAGGTGTTTGGCGCCAGGAACGCGTCGGAGATGACCACGGGCGGCTCGCCTTGCTCGCGGACACGGCCGTAGCCTTCGCGGTAAAATTGACGGAGATCCTCAATGTTGATTTGCCAGTTGACGGGCTCGTTGGCAAGTTCGATGCCCATCACCACGTCGGAGTACTCGGGTTTGGCGTACTTCTGCGCAATGAGGGAGAGGACGTGAAGGGCTTGCGCGGAGGTTTGCCCCCAGACGCCACCGTCGAGGAAGGTGATTTGATCGCTTGCCATACGTTGACCGGAGTTGTCAAACCCGTTTTGTGAGCCTGGGAGACCGTGCAAGTCGATCATGACTGGCAGGCCGACGGCTCGTGCCCAGTCGATGGCAGAATCGAGGTAATCGGCGGCGCCTTGGACGTAGGGGGAGTTGCTATTATCGAATGCCCAATAGCCGATAGGAATGCGGATCATGTTGAATCCTGCGGAGGCGATACGGGCGATGTCACCGGGGCCGACCCAGGTGTCCCAGTGCTGACGCAGGATTGAAGCAGCTTGGTCAGGGAGCCTCTCACAGAGGGTGTACTCGTCGACGATTCCCAGGGACTGGTCGACATTGCGGAATACGGAGGGTGTGATCCATCTAAACCAGTCAGGAAGGTGAGTGCAGTATAATGCTCCAATTGAACTTACGGCTCCAGAACAAGCCACCCTCCGATGTTGAGGCCTCTTATCTTTTCAGATCCCCAGTTGAATGGAGCGCGTTTCTCGCTGTACGAAGTGAATTAGCGTGTTCTTGTCACAAAATTGTTCGGCACTTACATTGGGCCTGCAATGGCAGTTCCTGCAGCTACGAGAGCTGCGAATCTCCTGAGCAGCACCATTCTGTGATTTGGTATCCTCAACGCATGCGACTGTTCGAGGCAACGAAGGAATTGACGATCAGAGAACAGGAGAATTCCGCGAAAGATATATGACTGGGAAAAACTTCGAAGAGCAGGTGCCCGAAATGTTTCAGCCAGCTCGGAGTAGGTGCAGTAGTGCCGGATAATCCAAGTTGGTCCTCGAACTGTTATCCCTCGACCCTAGCAGCCCCTTGTTGTTGGGTATTTTATCTCCTTACAGGCGTTCTTCAATCGTACACGGCGCTTTGATGATGTGCAATGGATCAATCCAGGCCAGGAATACTTAGGACAGGGGCTCTCCGGGGGTGATGAGATCGTATGGTATTTCGATAATCCTATTCAGACCGGGAAGTAATGTAGACCAGAACGGTTAGACACCTTCGCTTCCGGATGAATCGATAAGACAATTTGAAATAAATGGAGATTTCCTTCCGCTGAATGGCCGGTTCGTCTGGGTTTCCTGGAAGTTGGGTGATCTAAAAGGATAGATGGGAATTCCTTTGCCAGTTCCCACCGGTTTGGCTGGGATGCCAACCTGATTTCGGCCCTGCGATTTCTCGGCTTCTCCAGATACTCCAGTCCCCGTCCAGTGGGTTGCTGGAATTTATGGGCTTGATAATCTCGGTGGTGCCGATCTGACGATCTTTGGGGCAAGGTGTCATATGCCAATCCCACTACCGTTGTTGTACTCCGTACGGCGCTATTGCATATCGATGGACCTGGGGTGAAGGCAAAACTCTGGGAGGAAAAGGGCTGAAATACTCTGAGCTAGAAATGGGGACAATAATGGAGACACTGGAGAACTCTATGTTGAAGAGATGGAGAACTGGAAATGTTGCAAATCCCAATTCGATATTTACCTGTGATGGAGAGCTGGGATGAAGTTGCCTTCATTGGCATGGTGTGCACCTGCGGAATACACTCGGTATAGGGTCGGTAAGTGCATCTTAAGACCATTAAGATCCCAAGGAGAAAGACTTCCTTGATCCTTGGTCTCCATTCTGCCTCGCATTGAAAGAGATCTCGTTCCGGGCGAATTTAAAGATGAAAGAACCACATGTGAAGTGAACTTGGAGGTTACATCGGGAGTGCGATGGTGCGTTGGCCAACCGGGATACATGGATGACAACGGGTGGTTGGAGGGGGAGCACGCTGGCAGTAGTGGTTCGCGGTCCGCCCCCGCCGAGACGTATTGACGTTGCGGATTGCGGAGTGATGGGTGGTAGTTCCATGCCGTACATAGTAGTATGTGTGAAGAAGAAAGAATAATATCAGGTGCGCAAATCCAGAACACTCAGCTACCTTATGTTTGGTGACGATGAACGTATTGTGGACGGACAGAAATGGGACACGGGGTCCCATGTAGTATATTGACGACGCTATTTCAGTAGAGAAAAGGAAGGTCTGGAACTCTTGATGCTGTGTTCGGTAATGGAGATATACGTCATACGTTGCATCGTGAGATAGAGTGCGCTCAAAGGTCCCTTGACTTCATGTTGTGATCCCGAATTCCCATCACTCTGTCAGGTGCTTGTTCTCGGGATAGTCCCTTCGCACTGGGATTCCGTGTGACCCAATTCACCTCTCATGCATAGAGTAATGCTTTCGCATTTCACAGTCATTGGCAGGGAGGGTTCGAGTTCAACGGCCTGTCGCAAAAGGATGTTGGAATTCGGCGAGGAAACTTTGTCTTTCCAGAGTGAAATCAAGATCATGCATGGTGGTTCTGTGGCTTACAGAACAGGAACAGAATCGATGCGATTGGTGAGTTGTCATCTTGATCTTCAGGGCAGTGGTTATTTTAAGGGAGCATCGCCACCATCGTAGATGGGCGCATTCATGATTCAACCACTGGACAACCCCGATGGTTCGGCGTTCTGTTCATGCAAAGCACAACGACGATCAGGCGTTCAAAAACACACGATAGAACCTAATTGGATGAATTGTTCGAGATCGGATCCACTAGCGAATCCATAGACATACTACGTAGTATGCACTGGAAGAGACGGGGTATATGCATACTGGCCCCAAATCTGGGGAGCGACGATAATTGCTTGTACGAGTTCCCACTCGTATCACCACGTCGAAAAACCCCGATACGCCACCCAGCCCCAACTCACGGTGCAGTGCACCGAAGACGCCTCGTGAAACAACGGAAAGGTCAGCCGATATGCGAATCATCATCCGCTCTCCGAGACACGAAATATGTACCGGGAGGCTGGCATCGGGAAAATTCCAATAGCACACCGCTTTAAATCACCTAGCCTGACTGTTAGCGACTGTCGCGACACCCTAAGGGCCACATTGGTTTACCTCCGCGATGCTCTGCTTCTCAATGATGCTCTTCTGCCGGTCGCTCCGGCTCACCCGATAGTAGGAGTCCGCGAAATCCGCACAATGCATGTACTTGAGGAACTCTTCGTCGTGCGTGATCACGATCAACTGGAAGTTCGCCTGCTGTCGCCGCACCTTGATGATTTCATGCAAACTCTCCGCAAGCGCCCGGATGTTGTCGATGTCAAGGTTCGTCGTCGGTTCGTCCAGGGCAATCAGCCCGCAATTGACGCCAAAGCATTCTGCGAGGGCAAGTCGAATGAGAATCGACGCCAGAACTTTCTGGCCCGCGGAGCAGCGTCCCCGCATGTCCATTTCCGTGTCATCTTTTACCATGACGACGCGGTAGTTGTAGGATTTGTTGCCTTGCTTGGGAGTCTCGTTGTCGGATTTGATCATGATGGTGTCGATGTCGGTGCCTTGGTAAGTCTTGCGCCAGAGTTCTTCGACAATGCGGTTGATTTCCTCCATCTTGACCGAGTGGAATTTCATGATGGCTTTGTCGAGTGCTGAGCCATATCTACCCAGATCTTCCACCGCCGCCTTGGTCGTCTCGACTTTGATGTGGGATTCTTTATATTTGTACCCAGCATCTTTGTGGTCCGTATCCCAGATCTTCATGAGCTCTGTCAATTGATTATCCTTCTCCTTGAGTTCGCCGATGATGGTAGCCTGTTCGGCGGCCAGTCGATTTCTTTGGTCACTCCACCGGGCCCCATCTTGTTCATATCGGTTCTTGTCATCCTCAGCATTCTGGGCCTCAAGCTCGACAATCTCTTCCTTAACGATATGCAGCTCCCGTAGAGACTGTCGATATCTCAAGTTGTCAGAAATCGCGCGCTTCGTCTCACCGTGGCTCTTCAACTGGTCTTCAAGCTTCTTTGCCTCCGACGTGACTTGTCGCTGCTCAGTTTCGATATTGGCAATGGTTTCCTCCAGATTTTCAACTTCTCTCTTGGCACGGTTGAGAGGTGAATCGCCTCCGCGGTCAACGTAAGCAGCTATCTCCTGATCCGCAAGTTGAAGTTGGTTGTTAGATTCTGAAAGTCGAGTCGACTCTTTCCGAAGCACACTCTCGGCCTCCTCTCCGGCACGACGGATCTCTTCGAGGGTCGCTTCGGCTTCGGTAATCCTTGGAGCTAGACCATGGATCTCCGAGTCCCAGCCTTGCACGCTCTCTCGTTGGGTGGCATTATGCTTCTTGAGATCATCCGTTTGCGAAGCAATCGCCGCTTTCTCCTTGAGCTGGTAAACCGCGGTACTCAATTTAGACTGGATATCGCGCCCCTCGAGCTCCAAGGCGTTGACGTTGCTTCGTGCCCTTTCTCTGTCCGTGGAAAGCTGCGTGTAACGAGCTTTCGCGAGGCGTAGCTGCTCGTTGACTTGCCTGATCTCATCCTGAATGACTTCGAGGGCTCTGCTCATAGTGCTCGATTCTCTTCGTTTCCCCTCCAACTCTTTAATTTGGTTGTTGAAGTTGTTGATCTCAGCATGGTACTTCGCAATGGCCTGCACAGTCTTTGACAGTGACTCGACATCCTTCTTTGCCTCGGTAGCGTGTTGGATGACAATCTCTTGGTCCTCGATTCTAGCCAGGATATCGTCCCTCTTCTTCTCCAAGTCCTTGACCTCGGCTTGAACCGGTGGGATCTCGTCGTTGAGGCGCTTCCAGATTTCGTAGTTCGTCCGGACGGCATTGACCTGGTTCAGATCCTCTTCTGCTTGCTTAATCTCTTCTTCGACCGTCTCAGATAAAGCTCTTGTAATCATTTTGTCCATCTTCTCAACAAACTTGTTCATTTCGCGTCCCTCTTTTAGTCGCCGCTCACACAGACGACATGTACTGTCATCCTTGGCGGTTTCAAGACATTTTTGGTAGTACTTCTTCATCTCACCGAAGCTCGCACGATCAGATTTCTGGATCTGGACACTTGACGTCAGTTCCTCGACCTCCTGGGGATATTCAGAAACGCCAATATCCTCAGGTAAGACTGCAAGAACTTTTGATTCATTCCCCGCGCGCTCCTTTGTTTTCTGATCAAGACTCTTCCTGGAGGTTTGCATCTTGAATTCGATTTGCTGTAGCTCCCTTGTCAGAGAGTCACGTTTGGCCTCCGTCTCTCGGACTGAGGATGACCTCTCATCCAGAACCGTCTGATAGTTGCGTTCAAGCATGTCGGGGGACCACGAATCCTGCTCAATGCATTTCGAGATGCGAGGGCCATGCGTGTTGATCATCGTCTCCAGACTCCTCTGCCGATCTTTGACCTCTTTGTGCAAGTAGTCTACCCTAGCTGAATCTCCAGCTTGCTTGGTGCCCTGAATAAGTTCGCCATCCAATCGCTCCTTCGCTTCGTCTAGTAATCGCATTTCGCCATCAGCTTCTTTTAGCTTCGTATCCCAATCAGCCTGCTGCATATCCGTCTTTGCCTTCGCCAACTTCTGCTCAACGTCTCCAACCGCAGACTCGAGGACTGCTTTTGCCCCTTCGTCAACATCGATCCCGTCCATTTGCCTTTGCAGCTGGTCGATCTTGCGATCATTCGTAGCAATCTGCGCACGAGCTCCTTCCTTCTTCTGGAGAAGGACTGATTTCTGCTGAGTCCACTGACTGAGCTCTTGCTGTGCCGTGGCAGTTTTTTCGTGGGTGTCCCGCCGAGTCCGGTCTAGTTCAGCTTGCTTTTCCCTGACAAACCTTCTGAGACGCTCCGTGAAATCTCTGACTTTCTCATCGGTGAGGTCGAACTCGAATCCGTAGATATTATGTTTGCTGGCGATATCTTTGATCAGGGTCTCCCGCGCAGCGATTTGTCGATGATATTGTTCCTTTTGGGCTTCGAACCTGCCCAGCTCCGCTTGTTTCTGGCCTAGTGCACGGCGAGTATCTTCCAGATCTTGGGCAAGCTCACGATATCGTCGCTTTTGAGTTTCCACTTCCTGTTCGTATATCGCCATCCGTTCCTCATACTTGTCTTGCATCGACTGTAGGTCCTCATCCGAATCGGTCATCTCCTGGATGTAATCCTTCAGCTCGTTCACGGCCTTCTGAAGCATATCTCCTTGCATACGTTTCCCGTTCAGTTTGCTCACAATACTCTGGAACTGAGCAGCGTGCTCCCAAGCCTCTTCGGATTTGGCTTTAGCCTCGTTGACCTGGTCCGTGAGTTTAACCGCGTGTTCCCTCAGGGTGTCGATCTCTTCGTAGAGGGCATCCATGCGCTTCTGATCTCGTTCGGCCTTGTCCTTGTCGTCTTTCGCATGCTGTTCCATGATTTTGAACTTCCCCAGCTCTTCGTTCTGCTTCTTTCTCAGCAATTTGATGTTGTCGATCGCTTTGGTATACTTCATAGCCTCGAAGATCTCGTCGAACCGCTTCTTCAATGCCGCTGGTTCACTCAGCGGCCACAGACTTTCTTCCTGATGACAGAATATCACGGAATCCAGGATTGCCTTCGAGACGCCCAAGTACTGGGGGAGGATTTGGTCAAGTTCAGCCACCCTTGTCGAAACTGTTGTCTTTTCGCCTTCCCTGATCATCATCAGACTTCCTTCCAAACTCTTCTGTGTCCTGGTTGTTTTCTTCACAGTCAACTGGAGGTTCCGAGTTGCCACCATCTTAGCCCCAGAAGTGGCCTTGAACGCCAGCTTGACCTGGGCGTAGACATCCTTTTCACCCGCTAGCTTTGGATCATGTATGAAGGCTCCACCACGTGTGGCATTTGGAGGTAGATCACCAGTGGTGATATACTTCAAACATTCTATGATTGTTGTCTTCCCGGAGCCGTTGAGACCAACTATTAGAGTCAACGGAGCGTGGAATTGGATGGCCTCCGCTCGTGTGTTGTCGAATGAGCGGACGCCCAGAATCTGTAACTTATCGATTCTTGACATCTTGAATGAATGATTTACTCAGTCCATCAAATCTTCCATCTCTAGATGTTCATTTTCACTTCAGATCTAAGGCTGATGGTCATGAGAGTGAAGACGTGAGGCGTGTTGGACGAGATGCGTAGGCAACACGACCTCACGTGATAAAAGTCGTAAAGTGGAGAGCGGGACGCAGGGGCGTTGGCTGCCTGCTTGGCTTTTAATCAATCAGTGAGTTACCTCAGCAAGCTCAGGCCATTTGTGGTCGTGCCAAGGCACCGGAGTGGGACTATACCTAATCGGTAGAGTCACATGCACTCCTCGAACAAATGGCCTGAGGATTCTGTCAATGGTACACACTGACTGTTCGATAATTTTCATGTGTTTTTCACGATTTTGGAAACCTCACTTTTGCATATTCTTCAATAACAACACGAGGACTTATTATAATTGCCCTTAAATTCACTGGGCTGTGCAGCAAGATATAC